TTCATATTCCTGGTGCGGCTATTAGAATACGAGTATATTGTATGATTGGACAGTGAAATCTAAAGACACATTTCTTCATTGTTTTTGCTATTCTAACAGTAGTCAAGACGAGTCACTCATCTCATCTACAAAAAACATTATTTCCACAGCAAATTAGTTAATCAATCAGCTTCGCCAGAGTAAAGTGCGTCGAATCTCTTGGTCAACAGTTTTCTTTATATGACTATATTCTTGCAATTCTTTGATGGTAAACTTATACATTTTAGACCTTACTAGAAGCGCCGTCACCCAAAGAAGAGTCTTCTTTAAGAACATTTTGAGATTTTGATACTGTTTTTGTGAATTTTTAAAATTCAATTCATTAAGCATGAAGGGTTGCCTAGGAAACCGTAGACGAAGCACTAAAACACGTCCGTTCCCACGACAGTCGAGTAAACGTAACACGGATTTTTATTTGCCCAAGAACTGTCAACTCAGCAGCATTCTTCAAATTTATTTCAGGAATATTTTCTACCGCTACAACAACAACCAGCTAAAAAACGTGATTGGAAACGAGAAATAGAAGTGGATTAGTGTATAAAATACAAATATTCAATCGACCAGGGTCAAACAACAGCAAGATCTCGTGAAATGTGAAATTTGGATGAAGTTGGAAACAGGGAAATCGATAATTAAAAATCACTCATGGTTTTTAATAATCGATTTCTCCGTTTCCAGTTGGCTTGTAGATCTCATGAAATATTGAAACATTTTACTGCGCATCGTTCAGCTTCAACCTATTTAAAGTGAAGAATTGCTTAGTGGAGGCAAAACCAACTACTGAAAATCTGTGTACGACAGCAAAAACATGGTTGGCTGTAAATTTGAATAATAATGCTGAAAATATCGCAAAAAAGGCAAATGAAATAGAATCTCCAAGCGACAATAGCTGGTCTTTAGACGGTAGCCATGAAACATGAGAGCAATTGCTGTTGTGAAGGTGAAGTAATCATTGTTTTTTTCAACGAGGTTCAGCACTTAAAGCCAAAGCAGTTATTAAAAGAAGACTGAAAGGTTATGGGATCAAAAGGAAGAACGATATAAAAACATGTCTAACGTGTCGGAAACCTTATGAAATATATATATAATAGATAATCGTGACGAGCTGAGTCAATTTAGCCATGTTCGTCTGTCCGTTGTCTGAATATATGCGAACTAGTTGCTCAGGTTTTGAAATATCTATCTGAAAGTCCCTTGCCCCCCAATAAGCTGCTAATTTGTTCGTACCGCCGATATCGGACCATAATGGGACATAGATGCCATAGCAACTGCTCACTCAAAATCACGGCCTTGTATGGAAAGCTTTTTTATTTGAGAAGATATCATCACGAACTTTGGCACAGATTATTATCGAAGGCAACTCTGCAATCGCCGAATAAATTGTTGAGTTAATGCTTTTCACAAATACAAAAGGTACCTTAGAAGAACTTGATTCCGATTATTCAGCTTGTATGACAGCAATATGTTATAGTGATTTGTTTTGAAGAATTTCTTCGGAGATTCTATTATTGCCTTAGATAATGATCTGTTCCATATTTTGTCAAGATATCTCGTCAAATGAAAAAGTTTTCAATGCAAGCTCTTGACTCGGATCGTTCAGTTTATATGGTAGCTAGTAGTCCGATATCAGCCATTGAGACAAATGAGCAGCTTTTTGGTTAGAAAAGGTTATATGCTAAATTTAAGATGGATATCTCAAAAACTGAGAAACTAGCTGGCGTATATACAGACAGGCGGACAGATGGACAGACAGACGGACATAGCTAAATCAACTCAGCTCATCATGCTGATCATTTATGTATTTATTTTATAGAGTTTCCGCCGTTTCCTTCAAGGGTATAAAAATCGAGATAAAGCTTACATTCTCTGCTAAAAAAAAATATGCGTCTGTGAAGGGTATTATAACTTCGGTGCAGCTGAAGTTAAATTTTTTACTGGTTTTTACTGCAGTTTCCATTACAAGTTTAAGGTTTCCTAGAACTTAAAAGTCTCGCAACGACGAAGAAATGCCGTAATTAAAATCAGCAAGCAAGATAATTTTACAAACCTGGCGTTAGTGCCCGGTTATATACCTACAATACTAACCAATTAACTGATTTGAAGCTAACTTAGGCGGAAGTAAATAACTGAAAGCTAGTTAATTTATAACCTTCAGCTTTGCTGCAGTTGGAGGGAGTGAGCGCTAGAATATTAGGAAAGGCTTATCTTTAGTAACCAATCTTCCAAGATGTAAACTTGCCGCCAGTGCAAAAACAAAAACAATGGGGTGGAAACATCTTTTAAATTAATGAAAAGGGTCAACAATTTGGACGTTTTTTCTAGGCCAAAAGCAAAAGATAAAAGCAGAAAAATAGCAGTACAACATTGCCTCCTCAATACGCACAAGCGCCGGCAGCTTTCAAAGCTGCCAAAAGATAGCCAATTTAGTGCTGCTTTTATGAACATATGTACCGCTGAATGCTTTTAAATTTGCGCCAACAACAAATGCGCCCTTTAATAAGCATAATAATTCTTTTTTTTCCAGACAACTTTCACATGCTTTTTTCCACATTTCACTCACTTCCACTCAAATGGAGTTTATAAAATTTATGTAGTGCAACATTGGCATGAAATTGATATGTGAGTGAGGGCGAAAAAGGTCAATTCATTTACCCCCCCGAGACGTACGAAATAACATGGCACAGCGGTGAGCGGTGGGTCAGTGGTCTGCGTTTGTGCTTATAAAAACAGCGTGAGTCCGGTCGGTCGTAAACGTCAGGCGTAACGGATATTAAAAAGAAATAGTGCAAACGGAAATTATTGGCATTAAACGCTATCTGATGTATTGCTTGGCTGATTAAACGCTCGCAGGCATAAAATTCTAATAAGACATATGCGTAGAAAGTAGACAATATAGTTGAAACTTGTTGGCGGGCTACTAAGCACCCGCGTGATTTATGGGGTTATATGCAGTTAGAATTTTCAAATATCGATTTTTTTTCTTTTAATTTTTCTTAATTTTCATATCTTTAGGAACACACACAGATTGCATATCGTTCCGATAAATATTTTCGAAGTTACACGCAAATTTGAAAAGGCGTTTCAGAGTGCTTGGAAGTACAAGGCCGGCGGCAGCGACTTTTTCTCAGCATGGTGTTTTCAAAATCGGTGACCAACATTATTCGAAAACGGCTAAGCCGATTAGTTTAAAAACGAGCTGCTTAAATATATATTTTAGTAATTAATCGAAGAGTTTTTCTCTCCGATAAATATTTTTGTTTTTATAAACAATTTAAGGCTGAAATTGTCGGTGAAAAATCAATTTTTTTTTTTTGTGAGAAACAGCCATTTTGTCAAAAAAATGTATTTTGTTTATTCCTTCGATTAATTACTAGATTTAATATTACTTTAACGAAATCTATTTGGTTTTTTAATTTTAGATGATCCAGTTCAGTGATATAGTGTTCACCGCAAAACGTTTTTTTTTTTTTGAGAGAAGCTCTGGAGAACAGCTGTAGCTCTTTTTCAAATAAATATTTTTACTAGTACCAAGTCTTAAAATATTGTTAAAAGATACCATAATATGTGTATAAATTTTAGGATCAATAAATTTAAAAGTTTTCGCAGAAAAACTTCTGGAAAATTTCGGCCTGACAGAGTTAAGTGACAGAGTTAAGTACCTAAATCCTAGACAGAAAGCTCTCGTGGAAACCAAACATCGTGGATAGAGCAAGGAAGGCATCGGTTGCGCTGTACTGCTGCAGGGAAACCATTAGGAAAAGGTATAGACTCTCACCAAAGGTAGTTCTTTGACTCTATGAAACAATAGTTAAGCCTTTTATGTTCTACGAAATTCTTGTTTGTGACGAGTGTTCAACGTGCTGCTCTCATCAGCATTTGTGGTACACTACGAACCACACCAATTACAGCACCGAATGCCTTGCTGCATATAGCAGCGCTAGATATAGCCGCAAGGTGCATGGCTGCGGTAGCCTCCCTCAGTATCAGAGAAACTGAGTACTTAAATGACTGCGAGTCTAGGCACTCAAATTAATTGGATTGGTATATTGGGCAGCAATATTAGCCATGATTTCGTTGACTGTGCACTCAAGACTAGTGAAAGGATGTCTAGACTGGTTTGGCCGCCTGGCTACAGCGGTATTGCAGGTAACTGATGAGCTTGCTAGCACCGGCACTTCAGTCTCAATAACTGCGAAATGGGAACGGGTAGAAGCCACGTTGGCTTCTTGTGGTTCACTACTGCACTTTTGTTCTTCAGACCAGCTCAGCAAGCGTTGGTCAACTACCAGCAGCTGTGCAGTCTTAATTTCCGTCTGGCCTAACGTAAATCGCGAGAGATCTAGGACATCGTCCGTTCCAGATTCATGCAGTAAGATTAAATATACCGGATGTTTGGAAGAAGCTGAGATATAATCATCTCAACACTTCCTTCTCGAATGTTTCGCTTTTGCCAGATTAAGGAAAAAACACCTCGGCTCTCATACATACAGACATCCAGGTGAAATAGCGAAAATAGAAATTAAACAGCTAAGCAGATTTGTGATAGATGCAGGGCGCTTTGTCGATAGCTAATATCCAACTATAGGCGTATTTCGTCTGGCTTCAAAAAGGACTGAATATAGCAGTCTAAGTGTGAACCCGCCACTATGCTGAAGGATCAAAAAATTGGCACAAGCACTAGCACCGCCTCAGTAAAATGTCTATATCTCCGAAAATAATGTAAATTGTTGTTTTTGCATGAATTAACCTTATAACATGTTTCGACCGACACTTGATCACGAAATTTAGGCTTTGAAACCACAAATTAAAGTAACAACTTCCGGCAGAGATTTTACATTTATTGTTACTTTACTGCGCCTCCTATCGTAGAAGCATGTCTCAACAACTTTTTTCAGAGAACGTATATCATAATTTACGTTGTCTGTTGTAATAGTAGTTGGCAATCATGACAATTAACAGCTGATTACGAGAACGTATATCATAGCATCATATATAATATACGTTCTCTGCTGATTATCTTGAGCAGCTGTAATTTGGTTTAAAAATTGCAAATGTACGCCACAAAAATTGTAATTATTTTTACTTAAGCAAATAAAACTTGTTATTTTGACAGTTTTATAAAAAAAGAAAACAAAAACGTTGTAAAAACTATATTAGAAGACTTGTACACTTGAAAACAGCAAAGATGTCTAAAGACAACAGCGTCATGTCGCACAACTCCAGTAATATGTCACTCGAGGATTGGGTAAGCGGCCCAGTCATACAAATTTTATTGATTAGTACATTGTACATGGTTTTGTTTTGTGTTGCATATTTATTCACAGACCGATCACATTAACACGCGTCTGGATGTAATCTACAAAGATCTTTGCGACTTTGAGCACAGCATTACTACACAAAACGAAACTAACGATGCGGGCGAAGTTAAACTGATGGAGCTGCTTGAAGCTGTTAATGAGATACAGCGCACCGCTCGCAGCATACGCCCCATAACGGGCACATTGAAGGACAAACAGGCGCATATGCGTGAGCAAATGGAGATGCTGCAACGTTCAGTGGAGTTGTTGGAATTGGAGAATAGAACGAGTGCAGTGCACATTATGGAAGAGCCGATGGAGTGACGGCGGTTTTGCTGTAAATTACAGTTACATTAACATTATATGCAAGCGATCATTTACAACATATATAAACCATTTTGAGTGGCATTTATAGGGCAGAAAAGTGTACGCATTTAATTCGCTTTTAATTTTCAATAGTTTTGTAAGCATTTCAAGTAGTATTATTAATATAACTTTGTAATAGTTGTACGTATGCATGTATTTTAGTGAAATAAGTATAAAAGACGGCGCATTGCTGAAATAAATAGTTGAATGATTTTGATATTAATTTTGTATGGTTTTTTTTTTTGTTGAGAAAGGGTAAAAAGAATTTCGTTCCTGACGCTGCCATAACGGTGCCTAGTTCGTGTTCACAACTAATTATGTTAACTACAACTACTTTTCGAATTTATACTATATATAATATTTATTATAATACTATTATTTTTTTTTTTGTAATTTTGAAAACCAAATTTTTTTGTAATTTTGAAAACCAAATTTTTTTGTAATTTTGAAAACCAAATTTTTTTGTAATTTTGAAAA